GATAAATTACCTACAGAGTACCTAAACCCAAACCTACCCAACCTTTCCTGTTCCAAAAGAACACTGTCATAATCATCAGCTGACAAACTTGACTGTGGTAGCTTAAACGACATAGATTTTGTCACGCGACAGATTACGCGACTAAGATAATATTATCGACGTCTCGATAAGAAACAGTGATCGTTAGTTGCGTATAGAATTAGTAAGGTAACGTCACAGGTATTTAATCTTATCCTTGCAAATGAAGGCCGTAGTATTCAAATGCTAAGGTTTCAATGGAACGATATGAATTATATACGAGACAGAATAAGAAGTCAAAATCTACCGTAGTAAAGATATATGCGAATTAAATATCTCGGGAGAGGTTTCGACGGAATAACGATATGCACTAATTAGCGTCAACACCGATGCCTTTATTCAAGAGTGACGAGTATTTATACAGTGTTTGGTACCGACATGGGAGGTACAATGGTCGCATTCCATTTATTGTTATCTGGTTGCTGGATCTTATTACAATCGACATTGGTCGTATTACTAGCTGGCCAGTTATTGTTATCCGAGTTAATCGGAAATGGAAATGATAAGGGCCTTATCACAACTTCATGCCTCCACCAACCAATTCACATAAAAAAAAATTGCACTAACCAAACTAAAACAACCTCCTTCCTAATCTCCAGTTTTCGATTCTGCCAAACTAGAGGAAATGCTGGTCCCAACAAAAAAAATAATAGACAAAAAAATCTATCGCACTCTCAGTTAAATTATTCTCAGAAGTCTCCTCCAAGATATCTTTGGATCAGCTCACCCATTGGAAATCGCAAGAATCTACACCGATAACAATCCGACTGTTATTCAAACTTTTGAAGAAATCTACCCCCATTTAAACGAGAGAAGTATAAAAAACAGAATACTCTATAAAGAGCTCACTAAGCCGACCGATACATTTGTAGCAGCCTATAGTCCCTCGAGTACGAGTTTCGAACACCGATTTGTACAAGCCACAAGTGGCTGTGCGCCTAGCGTCGAAGTCTAGCGATTTTCGATGTTAAGCAAACAGAATGCGGAACACCGCTAGGATGGGTCCAGCCTAGCGAGTAATTATAACAATAAGCGTCTGGGGTAAGGGATCGCTGCCATCAGCTCCATTGATGAGTCTAGGCAGCGACTCTGAGGCGAAACGCACAACCTTTCCTCACCTTACCCACATCACATTCCGAACATTCACCTTCCTCCATTCTCGCATGCACCATCAACACTGAAATATCTTCATATTTGAATCGTCATTTAGCTGCTCATTTGAATCTGACATCGAATTTTCATAAGACCTGAAATTGGAACAAATTCCAAATCCAATATTCACCCAAATTCATTATGAAAACAATAATAGAGTGGAACATAAACAGTTACTACATCCACTATGAATAATTTCAAATTCTCGTAAACAAATCCAGCCCTGATATTATCTGCCTTCAAGAAACGAACTTCAAAAAGAATCACCAGACTACACTAAAAGATTTCAATACCTTTGTCAAAAACCGGACGAAACCACGAAAACCAAACGAAAATCACGCCAGCGGAAGAGTGACCATTATAATTTCGGACAAATATTATTCTACTGAAATCCCTTTAAATTCGATCTTAAAAACCGTTGCAATATCTATTTCATTCCAAAAGAATCTACATCTTCATTCCAAATAGTTTCCTCCTTGATTTGCAAGACCTTGAAGAATTAATAGCTCAACTTCCAGCTTCACTGATCCTGTCCGAAAACTTTAATAGCCATCATGCTCTCTGGGGATTGACCAGAACTGACAGAGGAAAAACTATTGAAAATCTACTAAACAACCAGGATTTAATCTTACTAAACAGGATTTAATCTTGCTAAATAGGTACCCCAACACACGTCAGTGCTAGGAATGGTAAATCAAGTGCAATCTATCTTGATCTAATCTTTTCTAGTCAACACCTAGAATGGCAAACATTAAAAGATTTCTACGACAGCGACCACTTCCCTATAAAAATCACCTATGGGAACAATATCACCACAGCTCAAAGTTACCACCAACCAAAATTGAAAATAAGAAAAACAGACTGGCCAGTATATCAAGAAAACATGACGCTTCAACTCACAGAGAAAGAAACAGAATCTGAACTTGATCCAGCCCAGATTAATAAAACAATAAACATTTTTCAACAAATCATAATCTCAGCCGCAGCAAAGCCTTTGGATTTCCCAGATTACAAAAAATCAGAAATGACCTGGAAAAGCTCTGTACCATGGTGGAGCGAAGAATGCAAAATTTCCATGCAAAAGAATTATCACGCATTCAACAAAAAAACATCTCACAAACAAAAATCTAACTGAGTTCAAAAAGAAACGCACCAACTTCTGTAGAATAATTAAAGGAAATGAAAAACAATCATGGAGGAATTACATATCATCAATAAATCCACAAACACCATCTGTAACATGGAAAAAATCAAATGCATAAATGGATCCAAATCCCCTACAGATATTCAATTTTTGGAAACTGATGATAGCAGGACTGTAATTCAATTGCTAACACATTACCTAAAAAATTTCAAGAAAAATCAGATAACATAAACTCATCACACCCTACAGTAATCAACAACCATATACACCATGATCAGATTTACAATGATAGCAATTCAAAAACTAAAATAAACTATTTTGTCTTCAACTGTATATGGATCCATAAAATCTTTCCCGAAAATTCGCAAAAAATAATAGTAATTCCAATTTCTAAGCCAAACAAAAGCAAACAAAACTCTAACAGTTATCGTCCAATTACCTTAAATAACACCATGTCTAAATTACTGGAAAAAATCGTAAACCATAGGTTTCGATGTTAGTTTGATGTGAAAAACTTTTAAACCAATACGGTTTCCGATGCTATCATTTTACCATTGATGTTCTAACGAACTGGGAAACAAATATCTGCGACGCCTTCCTCAAGAGAATACATAGCCGCCGTATGCCTCGATATTGAAAGAGCCTTCGGCACAATCTGGAGATCCAAAATTGCAAATTCCCTTATAGAGCTGAAAGTAAATGGCAATATGCTATCCTTCATAACCAACTTCCTATTAAATAGATCCATTCAAATCAGAGTAAATGGAACTCTGTCACATCCAGTTATAATCAATAATGGAGTCCCACAAGAATCAGTAATGAGCACCATACTATTTTTAGTAGGAAATTAACGACATCACCAACCTCAAACCATCAATAAAAGCTCAGTTATTTGCGGCTGACATTACAATCACATGTAACGGGAAAAATGTACACTCCATAAACGAACATTTACAAACAGCTATCAATATTCTACCGTACTGGTAAAAAATAACTGGTTTAAAATTTTCTCCCCAAAAAACCCAAGGCATCCTATTCACTAGGAAAATCAAATTCAAAGTCCCACCTAAACTACATCTGAGTGATTTTGAAATAAAATTCACAGACACCACCAAAATATTAGGCCTTATTTTCGACGAAAAATTATTTTGGGCGCCATATCTAAAGTCCTTAAAAGAGTCCACAAAAAGATTCAATATCATAAAAATTCTTTCCAATAACTGATAATAACTGATAATAACTCTTTTAGAAACATACAGAGCGTTAATTAGATTACGGCTCTATCGTTTATATATATAACTTAGCCAAAAACTCCACCAAAAAAATAATAGAACCAATCAACTCAGCTCTAAGACTAGCCACAGGTCCATACCGTACAGCCTACTATTCGAAACCAAAGAAATGACCCTTGAAACCAGAACAAAGTTCCTAACCCTCAAATATGCAATAAAAGTTTCATCCATTCCAAGTAAACCTTCCTACAATAATATCTTCTCCAATAGACATAAAGCTCTCTACATCAATATACACAAAATTCTATCCCTTTTTATATCAGACTTACCAAAATCCTCCAATCCATCACTTTCAGAATCCAGCGTAATCCAACGTAAACCACAAATGCCTCTATGGACAATAGAAGCATTTCCAACAAACGTGAATCTTGTCAAACTCTCCAAAAGAATCCTCAATCCAAGGGCCCGATTCCTAGAATTAAACAACAGCTATGCCCACCACAGCAGACGTGTCAAAAACGGACACTAAAACTGGATACGCCATCATTACAGAAAAAGCCAAAAAAAAAAACACACAAAATCTCCCCTCTTCATCATCCATCCTCACAGCCGAAACTTATGCCATTCTGGAAGTCTTACAATACGCACACTTAAATAACGAAGCCCAAGTCATATACACCGATTCTATAAGCGTTGTAAATTCCTTAACAAAATCATATGATCAAGATAACCAATTGATAATCATCATCCAAGAACTAAACCACAACCAATCTAACACAAAAGCTACAGTCATTTGGATTCTAACTCATCAAGGAATAGAAAAAAATGAAAAAGTCGACGCAATAGCGAAAGAAGCCACAGTTTCCTCACTTACTAACAATCGCAATCACCTTTCAATCCCCTGTGAAGACCAAATAATCCACTGCAAAGAAGTGATAAAAAAGTGAATGGAACAATACATGGATCACAATTACAAGCATTCCATTACACAAAAATATCCGAGACTTTCACCAACAAACATCAAACAGCAATAGGAAAGAAGGAATAATTATCACACGCCTAAGAGCTAGTCATACCAAACTGACACGAACATAATGCAAACTTATAATATTTAAATCTAACTTAAAACTTCCTCTAATATTTCGTTTAAACGTGTGCTCAAAAAATCAAACGTTCTTTGTGCCTGTTAGTTTCCCATCAAGAAAAAAAAGGTCTAATTAAAAATTTATCAATTACTCCTGACCATACGTTTAAACTAAACTGGTGTTGATGTTTTGAATGCACAATAACATGTGGGTTTTTTTCAACCCAATTATGATTATTACGAAAATTGAAAATATCCTGGTAAAATTAACTTCATCAATGAAAAATATGGTAGATACAAAAATCTCTTCACGTTCACACATTTGCAGGAACCGAGTACAAAAAACTACCCTAGGTTGAAAATCAGTTTCAGTAAGACCTTGTACTCGCGAATTCTGGCTTACGAACTATTGCGGTCTATGGAAAGAAAGGCCGGTCTATGGAAAGAGAGTTTGCTCTGTTTATAAAATTCATTATATCTCATAAACGAAGACAGATAGGACATATATTTATATGACTTTTTTCCATTATTTTTAATTAACATTAAGTTACGAAACACCCTGTATAATCCGCCTCGGTTGAGGAAAGGCAACACAGGTTTGTTTCCTACATGCTCAGCTGATACTGTTACCGCGGAATTTGAATAAGTATCCACTATTAGATTTTCTATCTGACCTCTATATTTCCTCTATATTTCCTGTCCCCAATCCGGCGTCCGCATATCTAATTAAATTTTCATCCGTTTTGTTGTTTCCTAATTTTAATTTATCTATTGTGCTCTTCGAGTACTAAAACGTGCTATCCGTTTTGCTTCCTTCCAGTCGAGTACCGTAGGAGTTATTAATCTTTTGCTTAATATAGTTACATTTGCTATTATATCTGGACGTGTCGATATGGTCACGTACATTAGACTTCCAATTAGGCTTTAAAATTGTTTGTTTTCCATCAAAATTTTATTGTCTTGCGTGTTTTTGTAGTCCAATGGTATATTCGACGCTTTTTTCTGTGTTAATCCATGCATGATTAAAATCTGATGTATATGTTTTTTCTGATATCTGAAGAAATTATTATTTTTGTTTTTTATTACTTGTATGCTTGAGTAATTTCTTATACTTCCAAGCTCTGTGTTGTTAAATAATATTGATAGTTTCTTTACAACCTGTGCGTGATTTCATTTGTATTTTTTGATGCGATTAATCTATCGTCCACATATATAATTATATAAGTTTTTACGTCATTTGTTTGTTTTATGAATAAACATTGGTCTGTCTTACCTTGCTTAAAGCCTAATTCTTTTAGCTCATTGGAAATTCTCTTATTCCAATTGCTTGCGGATTGTTTCAAGCCATATATGTTTTGTTTAATTTAAGTACAAGCTGTTCACTACTCTTCACTTCGTATGGGTGGCTGCTGCATGTAGACCTTCTCTTTCAGTCTGTCATTTAAGAATGCGTTTCTTATATAGCGTTAAACAGTCAATTTATCCCTGTTTGCTATTGTTAAAAGCATTCTTAAAGCATTCTTAAAAGTAGTTTGTTTTACTACAGGTGCAAATATCTCAGTGCAAATAATTAAAATCTATACCTGATTTTTAGTTATAGCTTAAGGCTACCAATCTGGCTTTAATCTTACGATATTACCTTTTTCGTTTCTTTTGATTTTGAACACCCATTTGCATCCAATTATCTTTCTTTCTTTTGTGAGTTCCTCTATATTCCAAATATCGTTAATTGAAGACATATATTCGTCGTCGAATGCCTGCTGCCAATCGTGTTTATTTGCACTCGATATTGCCTCTTCGACTGTAATGGGTTCACTTTGATTGCTGGTTGCACCTGCATATAGTTCTAATCGCAATGGTGATATTCCTTTATTAGATCTCTCAAATTTTCTAATATTCTCACTCTGGCTTTCGTGAATATTTTCATGTCCCTCTTCTTGTTCGTTTTCTTGTTCGTTTTCTTGTTGGTCTTCTTGTTTGTTCTTTGGTATCATAAATTCTATTTCAGTTTCCGAATTTGTGTTCCTTTCTTGCTGCGTCACTACTCGTTCCTCCTATTTTATTATATTATCTACGAACGTTACGTTTCTACTGATTATTATTTTACCGAGTAATCGATATGCCTTGATTTCCTCGCAGTAACCAATAAGACAGAATTTCGTTGCCTTTGGATCCAGTTTACGCCTGAGTTCGTTTGGAGTTAATGCATATACTTGGCTGCCGAATAATTTCATACCCTTGAAGTCTAGTTTCTTTCCAGTTCAATATTCAAATGAAGTCTTTTTTTTGTTCGAGATGGTAGTCTGTTTTCAAGATAGTTTGCTGTTGCAACAGCTTCACCCCAATATTTGTTAGGCAATCCGCGTCGATTAATAAACAACTGGCCATCCCAATTAGGTATCTATTTTTGTGTTCCGCTTTTCCACTTTGTTCGGGCGAATATGAGGCTGTCAATTCTGATTTAATTCCTTTCTCTTTAAAATAACTTTTCAATTTATAATTGACGTATTTTTTTCCGCTGTCAGACCTGACTGTTTTGGGTTTCTTTCGCATTTGTTTTTCATTAATGATACGTACAATCTTATTTTATCATGCACTTCGTATTTGTATGTGAGTAAATATGTGTGTGTGTGTGTGTGTGTGTGTGTGTGTGTGTGTGTGTGTGTGTGTGTGTGTCCGCTATAGTCGTCTATTAAAGTGAGCACATACCGTTTGCCGCCCACAGTCGAGGTCTGCATCGGTCCGCATACGTCCGTCAGTACCAACTCTAGAATCTCCTTAGTTTTATTATTCGAATGTTTTGAGAACGGTTTTCTTGTTGCCTTTGCTTTTACGCATATTTCACACATCTGCTTTATTCCACAGTTGCTTATTTTTATATTTTTTCCCATTTCTTTCGTAAATTTCCTTATCGCTTCTGTATCGCTGTATCCTAATACTTTGTGACATGCATGTATGCCATGTTTATTTACAGCTATGAAACTTCTATGGTTCGTGCGTAATTTATATAAATTTCCGACACAATCCGCTATTGCGATTATTTTCTTACCGTTATTTATTGTACATTGATTATTTTTAAAATTGATTTCGAAACCGTTATTTTGAATCTTTTTTACTGATAAGAAGTTCTCGTATAATTCCAGAATATATAATTGAATTTGAATAATTCTTTGTTTACCATCATCTACTGGACATTTGATTCTACCTTTGCTGGTTCCTTCAACTTTCAATGCCTTACCGTTGGCTGTGTATACTGCGTCTTTCATCTCTGTATATAGTTCGTCAAAAAACTCTTCTGTTGATTATCATGTGTACTGTACTTTCCGAGTCTACACCAAGTGTCCTTTTCACATGTATATGAATTTATGCTGAAACAGAAATCGTTACTATCCGTTACTATGTTCGCCTTTTCGGTTTTACACTTCCAGGCTCTATAATTCCGACAGTCGTTTTTTAAATATCTCTTCCTTTTACAAAAGAAGCATTCGATTCGGCCGTTTTTTGTTTCTCGCTATGATGAATCTTTAACGCTTTTTCGCTTGCCTCGGTGTTTTCCGATCTTCGTTTATGAGTTTTCCTTTTATTAGACTTAGTATTATATCTTCTTCCGATCTACTTTCGAGTCCGCTAATAAGATTATTATATGATTCTAGTCCCCTCAGGGGCTGCAGGCAGGATGTTTCTCATACAGTAGCGGTCCCGAGGTGCCCGAGCTTTCATCACACCGTAGGCCTGTGGTCACGTCTCGCAGAAGCGGTCTTGCCTTAATCGGCTGGTCCGCGAGGGTGATAAAAAGTCCTTAATCGAAAGCTGGGGACAGCGGCAAGTAGCCACTTATCAGTCAATGGTACTGGGAAGTGGACTGGTGGGTGCATCAGCCCCTAGTGGCCACCCTCCAGATACCTGGCGATCTCTGGTTGTATTTAGCCTTGCCCGGGTAATGGGGGCTCTGCCCAGGTCGACCTTCTTTCCCGCCATAACCGTGGGACCAATTATGGAGTCTAAATCGAAAACAAACAAAAGACAAAACAAAACAAGACAAAAGACAATTGTCAATGAGACAATAGTGATGAAGATGAGAGACAAATGGCAAATGAAACCAAAGCGACCCCATTAGTTCTAACCCCAATAAAGGGACGGAGACTAGCTCGGTCTGCTCGTCTACTGCGGACGAAGCACCGAAGCAAAAAACTGCTAAAGAGGATAAATCGAAACGTTTAGATGAAGCGAATGCAGAAGGAGACGACGTTCCTGGTGGCGGCTGCTTGGAAGCCGTCGCTGAAGAACGGAGAGAATTGGAAAGATTCCTATTTGAGGAATCTAGTAAGATAAATAGACCGGCCATCAAGTTTATTCTGGAGCGGTGGACATCTATGGAAGCCCGTCTCCGGAGTGCCTTGGTGGAAAATAAAATTCTGAAAGAGAAAGTCAAGAATGTGGGCAAGCTGCAGCCTGAGGCTCCCACATATGCACAGGCCGCGATCATGCGAACGCATGTACCCCGCGCCCCTGGGGTTGGCAATATGGAACCCAATAAGAAAGCTCCTCCAAAGGAGAAATGCGAAGTGGTTCTCATTAAACCAGAAAAGGAGAACAAACGTAATAACGAGAAGATAAAAGCCGACGTACTCAGAGAACTAGACAAAGTTCGAAAGACCCTAAAGGTACGCAGTATAAGACAGGTGCGAAAACAAGGCCTGGTGGTGAAGGTGATGAACCAAAAGGACATCTAAGCCATCAGGTCTTGTAAGCTTCATAAGATCGAATTCGTGGTGGAGCGACCGAAGATGATAGACCTATCTATCATAATCTATGATGCAGAGAGGGAATACAAAGAGGAGGATCTGAAAGAGAAAATAAAGAAGAACCACGATCTCAGCCATGACTCTGAGCTGGATGAAGCAAAGAGGACAATAAAATTCGCCCATAGCTTCAAAGATAAGGACGAAAGACGGGTAATCCAGTTAACCGCAAAACACCACAAAATGCTCACAAGTAAGGGAAGAGCATTCCTAATGTGAAGATCCTACGGGATCAAAGACTATATTAATGCAACCAAGTGCTACAAGTGCCATGGATATGGAAACATAGCAAAATTCTGCAATTCGCAGAAACTGTTGTGCAGTCTATGCGGCAGTAGTGAACATCTAAGGAAGGACTGTACTAAACAGAACCCAGACTGCATAAACTGCATTAGGACGAGGAGAAAAGAGACGAGTCACGTGGTGCACAATAAAAACTGCCCAGAGTTCAAGAGACATCTTTACAACAGCATTAAATGGTAATACAAATAGAACAGATTAATGCGCAAAGATCCGCAGCAACTGCCGCAAATCTAGAAAAAATGATGGAAAAAAAAGGAGCTCGACATGATTTGC